TGAAACTTGCTGCTGAAACAAATCAAATACAGCAGTGCACCCCGGGGACTGTCATTCCTGTCAGTGATGGCAGCATGTGCTTTCCTAGAGCAGTCCTGAAGGACACGCACAGACAGATGTTCACGACTGACCACGAGATCTGCAGGAGGTTGCCAAACTGCCCTGCTTTTCTCTGACACTCCTACTTGCTGTGTTTTGCACTTATGGGACACACATGGTCATGATCATTCCCTAGTCTCTTCACAGCACAGAGTTTCCATCACTTGAAAACGAGGCCCATCACTGTGTCCCCACAAGTGCTTTGGCCCCCTCGGCAGCCTCGTTTGGTGAACCTGCTGCTTAGGGAGGATGGTTTTGCCTGTGAGGGGATCCCCTTTGCACCCACTGCCACTGTGCAGGGCACCAGCAGAGCTATCAAATGACACCATGAAGCAGTTTTCATGTATGGTCACCCTTTACCACTCTGTTACTATATTAGGTCCCTGGCTGGAGCCATCTGCCAGGCTGGGCAGGCAGGCAGCCCAGATGCCTGCCTGAGATGACATTCCCTGGCCTTGGGGTCTGGGCAGCAGCTGAGCCAGCCCACAGGAGCCAGGCACTGTCCTCTTGGAGGTCATTAACCAGAGTGGCATTTGCTACAGGTCCTTTCTTTGCTTAAGACCATGTTGCCCTTTTAGGGGTGCAAGGGGGTGTTGCAGTTGGCTGAAGTGGATCTGGCAGGGGAACACGTGCCGTGCTGCTGCTGGGGTGCCAGGACTCATCCTCCTGGCTGCTTCTGTGCCAGTTGCTGTGGCACTTATTATACTTACTAAAATGCTCTAGTGGGCATTTTTTTAACTTCTGTTTTATTTTTACTTATTTTTATTTTGGGGCAGGAGAGTTGGCAGTTGGACACTGTGATCTTAGAGATCTTTTCCAGCTGTGACAATTCTGTGATACCAACTCCAAACCCATCTCCTCCCACTTCAGCTGTCTTTTGTAGCCATCTCCAAAGCTGGTGTGGTTCAGCAAAAAGAGCTTTTTAATTATTCCTGCAGAGAACACCTAATTCTAGTTCTAATCCATGGAAAAAAGCTGCTGCTTGATTTTGTGGGTGTGGGAAGTGGGTGTTGTGGAGCTGGTGGGAGGGTTTGTCACCCATACTGTGAGACAATTGAAGCTTTTGCCATCCTGGGAGCAATGGAAAAGCTGGGAATGTTTAGTTTGAGGAAGAGGAGGGTGAGGGGAGACCTCATCAGTCTCTATAACTACCTAAGAGGTCATTGCAGAGAGGTTGGTGCTGGTCTCTTCTCACAAGTAACTAGTGACAGAACAGGAGGGAAGGGCTTCAAGCTGCTCCAGGGCAGGGTTAGACTGGACATTAGGAAAAAGAAATTCACAGTAAGAGTGGTCAGACACTGCAACAGACTGCCCATGGAGGTGGTGGAGTCACCATCCCTGGATGTGTTTAAGGGTCATTTGGGCGTGGTGTTGGTGGATGTGGTTGTGGAGAGAACTTTGTAGAGCAGGGATGATGGTTGGACTGGGTGATCCCAAGGGGCTTTTCCAACCTGAATGGTTCTATGATTCGAAGCACAGCAGCTTTGTGTTAAAGGGGCTTTTGTTACAAAAGATGCTTCCAGAGGGACGTTTGGTTGGAGACCTTTCAGCAGCTGCTCAAGGACTCCAGGAAACAGCCCAGCACGCTCTGCCTGCAGGCAGGGGGGAAGCACAGCTAATGATTGACTATTATTTTAAGGGGATTATCTAATCCACAGCCCAGAGGACAAGATGGGCCAAAACTAGTGGAGATTGAATACATAATTAGTGTGGATTGTTGGTAATACCCTCTGGACTCCAAGCAGATTATAAACAGAAACAGATTTCTCTAGTTTCCCCCCCTTTGTAGCAGAAACTGCAAATTAAGTGGGTGATCACAGTGGACACCTTTAATGCAGAAGGTGGCTGGGGAGCAGGGAGGCAGACGAGCAGCTTCCCTTCTGTTATTTTGCCACACAAAGGCAGAGTTTTTGGTGAACTGACTGAACTGGTGGATGTGGGAGGTCAGTTTCTGTTTCCTCACTGTCTGTCCTGCAGCTCCATCCCTGGTGCTGGGGTTTCTTCTCTCCTGGCGACCATGGGAGCAGGAGGTGCAGGGATGCAGGGGTGACCCAGCCTAGCCAAGGATCCTAACAAAGGCTGGAAACCATAATGGAGCCCTCTCAAGAAGTACCTGCTTAAGAACATTGGCTAATTTGGATTTCTGGCTTTGTAGTATTATTATTATCATTGTTGCTATTTATTTTTATCATTGTTATTGTCTGAACCTGCTTATCAGCTGCCTGGAGTCTGTTAGGGGCTAAGACTTCTTGTTTTCCTTTCCTGCTCCATACCAAAAGTTAGCAGAAGTTAAATGAAAGGGATTTGCAAGAGTTACAGATCCATTATTAACACAAAATAGAAGACATATGACTGAATCCATCAAGCCTAAAAATACAGCTTGGCCCAAATAAGCCCAGAGGAGGAAACAATGGAAGGGACAGTGCAAACAAATGGGACACCCAAGCCCTAAACTTCTGGAGCAGTTTAACAAGGCTAGGAAAATGGCTCTCAAATCTCTGATGACAAGAGGGTTTCTGCTCCCTTCTCTTTACTTTGGGCTAGGAGGATGAATGGGAGAATCACCATTCCCATGTGGGTCTAAAAATTACCATTAGTCAAGTTCAGGTGAAATCCCAGAATTTGCAAGTGTCCTTTTCATTCCCAAAGGATACGAATGAAATGATCATTTTGGTCCACCTTGGCTGAAAGTTCCCTGCAGGATTCAGCTGCTGCACTGCAGACTGCAGGACCTCTGATCTCAGGAATCACAGCATTGCAGAACGAGACTAGTTGGGAACGTCAAAGCCCTTTGTGCTGTTAAGGACCTTGCTGAAACACTCTTGGTTTTCAAATTTCTAGACTGAAGGCAGGAGCAGTGACTCAGTTCCTGCACAGTTTTTTAGTTCTGCTAGGGTGTCCAATAAGAGCACATTCTGCCCCAGAAATGATGCTGATCTGATGTGGATCGCTGGCCTGGAAGCACATGGGTTCCTGGTGGCACTGTGTCCCCATGGGGCCTCTTAAAGGTTTTAGGAGTCTTTGGAGTGTGTGGAAACACCTTCCAAACACATGGAGACAGGCTGTCATTGCCCTGCTGGGATGGGGTACCAGCCTCGTGTGGAACAACCAACTGTGAAATGATCTGCTGTGATTTTATTAACCCCAAAATCCCTTCACTTATTCTCCAGAAATGAGCTTGGGGAAATCAGATGCTGCAGCCAGGCTGCTCCCAGACTGCCCCAAAGCCTGAGCCTCCCTGTGCCAGAGGGACTTTTTCTTTCCATGCTTGGAATGAAGCACAGGATGGGCAGAGGTGGCCTCCTGGCACGTCCCTTTCTGGGTGGCACCTTTTCCTGCTCTGCAGGACAGCAGCTTATCTCTACTCTTAAGAAGAAAAGCAGGAAAGTTGTGGAGAAGAGGAACCACAATATCTGTGGGAATCTCCTGGAGAAGTCAGAGCTTCCCAGGCAGGTTTTGCTTGCACCTGGCCCTTTGTGTGTGTGGGTATCTGCTCCCTTTCAGCCTTTCTGGCCCTCTTTGATGGCCTGGCCTGACTCACTTGTCATGTTGACATCCTTATGTTTTTGTTTTGCAGTGTTTGGGTAGTTTTGATGAAGAAACACTGCCTGTTTGCCTTGGCACTGGTGCTCATTGGACTGATGTGGTGTTTTTTAGCTAGAGTGTTTATTCAGCCTCTTGGATTCTCTCTCAGGGGTGGGGTGGGATGATCCAAACATATCAGAATGCTGGTGATCCACGAGGGCTTGTGAAAGGCTTGAGCCAGGGTCTCTTCTGATGGAAACCACCAGCTTCCTCCACTTCCAAGGGCCAGGCTCTTGGAGTGAGATGAGCAGCCTTAACTGATTCCCATCTGGATGAGAACCCTGGACCCAAGAAGGAGATGGAAGCAGCAGCAGAAGGGGAGCAAGGGACCCATTGCCTCCTGCCACGATTGTGTGCACCCACTTGGTCCAGATGCTTGGCAAGTACAAACACCCCAGCTGGATCTGGCTAATGGCATCTCAAAACACCTCTTGCCTTTTGTTCTTGGCTGTGAGAATTGCTGGTTTCTTGCCTTTCCACCTTGTCTACTTGGACATTTTTATTCTGCCCTGTTCCAGGGAGACAAGGGCAACTGTGACTTACTGCCCAGCAAGTCCTTTGCAGCCAGTGATGGGTTGCCACGAGCTTTTCCCCCAGTAATACCATGCTTCTCTGCCAGGACCATCAAAACTTGTATTGTGGATGTTTTCTTGTGTTGGAGCTCCCATGTGCTTCATGTCTGAGTCCCCATGTTGCACCACCAGCATTCCTGGGGTGCGTGAGCCACTCACATTGCTCTCTCTCCCATGCTTTGATGAGGTGGACAGGGGATGGGATGGATGTGTTGTAAGTGCTGTAAGGAGCATATTTTGCACACACTTATATGAAACTGCAGAAATGCTGAGCTCCTTAGGTCCTCCAGCCAGGGGGTATTTTGGTGAGCAAGGCCTTGTCCTGGCTCTGGCTTCAGGGAAATTGGATTTCCTCACTGCTGCCTGCATCCTTGTGGTGTCTGGGGAGCAGACATGATTTGCATTGCTAAACACCCACTCTGAAGCTCAGCTGATTGTCTTTGGGAGTAGCTCTCCAGTAAACCAGCTCCCCTTGCCTCATTTGTTTTCTTACTGGGGCACCTTAGAGATCTGATTTTTCAGTGTTTCCAAGCATCAGGTTTGGTGTAGTGACTGGGAGGTGCTCTGGGACCAGTGCTGCCTACAGGACTGACAAGATGTTTGCTCAGCTCTTCTGGCCCCCCCATCCCTGCCATGATGCCTTCACCCACACTTGGACCCAGCTGTCCCCAGCTGCCAGGAGCTGGCCTGCAGTGCATGGCACACATCACCCAGCACTAACCACCTCTCTCCTTCTGCTTTCAGAGCTGGCATATGACCTGGACATGGATGATGTCTCTGCAAACAAGCAGCTGATGAATCAGCAAAGCAAAGACAGCACCAGGGTCCCCAGCAGTGACCCCAGGAGCACAGCCCCCCACCCCAGCCCTGCTCCTGCCCTCACCCTGCTCCTGCTACTGGTACTGGGGCACTGGCCTTGAGTGATGCCACCAGTGTTTCTTCATGACTGTTTTTTGTAATGAGGAAGGCACTTGGAGCCTCTTCTGAAATATATGCACATTTCCAAAGGCAGGGCAAATGACTTGAGTCAGTTTTATAAAAGAACATGGTTATCTTCACACAAAAATGAACCTCTACAAAAGCATTTGTTCATGGTAAACTAGTAAATACATGACAGTGCTTTTTAAAGATAATCCTGTTTAATATAAGAAGGTTCCTTTTAAATTGTGTTCCCTGCAGTTTTTGAAGGCTGAGGTCTCCCTTGCTGTTCAGTTGAAGATCACACTTCATCTTGAGTTGTTTGAATGTGCATGGGTACAGAACACCTACAATTTATGAAATACTCTCAGCAAGTATCAGACCCTGATCCTAGTTGACTTAATACAGATTTTCTCTGTAGTTCAAACAGTTTTTGTACTTACTCCAGATTCAAGGCTTGCCCCTAGGAATCTGGCCAAGCACGTGATACAGAGAAGGTCAGACACATGGCAGGAGGAATGATGCTGTGGAAGAGGAACTGTCGTGCACCAGGATGGTCATGGAGAGCTGATCCTGTGGGCATGAAGCACACCCGTATCGTGGCAAGTTGCAGCTGATTTTGCTGCTCATCTCCCAGCCAGGTCCTGCAAACCCCTTCAGTGCAGGCAGCTGGTCCCCTCCAGCACCCCTGTGGCCCATGCAATGCCACGGTTTTATTCTTCAGCAGCAAAGCACCTCCTTTCCCACAGGAAATGTGCAAACACAGCTCCAGCCCAAGGACAGGCAGCGTGGATGTACATGAGGTGCTTTACCAGGAGGAGTAACGGGCGTCCAGTGCTCTGTGCCACCAGGGAGGAAAAGAAAAGGATTTGCAGGAGCCCGAGGCAGATGAGACTCTTAAGTGTTTCTTTGCATGTTACTTTACTTAAGCTATCTCCAAAATAAAGGTCAGATGCTCTGTAAATGCAGCCTCCCGTGTGCGTGAGGTGATGTGCTACCTTATTCCTGGAGTGGGCAGCCTGGCAAGGCCAGCAGTGCCCAGCTTGGGGGCACCACAGAAGGGCTTGGCTTAGTCTGATTAAATGGATGGCCTGGGGCCAGGGAGGGCTTGGTTTGGTTTGGTTCCTGGCCAGAATGTTTACATGTTTCTGTTTAAGATGCTGCCTTTATTAGAGTGATAATATCCGCGGTATCTGAAGCTGCAGAGTGTGCTGGTACGTGTGTGTGCAGTCCCATGTACATGCTTTAAATACTTGTGTGCCTCAGACCTTTTTAAAAGCACCTTTATGTTTGGGAGAAGTTAGATAAATCTGAACCGTGCAATCAGATGGTGTGAAGGGTGGAAACTTGGCCTGTTCTTACTTTGAAGTAGTGGGGATGATTTGGCTGCTCCTGATTTGGAGCCTTGCGACCAGCTGAGGCAGAGGGAGGGTTGGGGCTGCTCAACTGCCAAGTCACTGCACCTGATGGAGAGGAGCAGAGCTGGGATAAGCCCCAGTGTCACCTGCTGGCTCCTGACTGAGGAGCTTTCCTCTGTGTTTCAGACCCCTCATGTCCTACCTGCACAGAGGTGAGCACCAGAGGTGTTTGGGCAGCACTGGTGCCTTGTGGTATTGCTGTAAGTGCTGGTTGTGTGATGTGTAGTTGGATTTTAGATGTTCACAAACCCAGAGTGCAATCCTCTCTGTCTCTAGGAATTGCCACTTGCTGGGGAGCCCTCAGGTGGAAGGGGTGCTGGAGCAGAGGGGTGACATGGGGCAGAGCCATTGGTGTTGCTGGCAGAGGTGTTGCTTCACTCTTCTGCTTTTTGCTGCCACGTTGGCCCTGCTCCCCCCATCATCCCTGCTCCCCCATCATCCCTGCTCTCCCCATCATCCCTACTCCCCCATCATCCCTGCTCCCCCCATCATCCCTGCTCCCCCATCATCCCTGCTCTCCCCATCATCCCTGCTCCCCCATCATCCCTGCTCTCCCCATCATCCCTACTCCCCCCATCATCCCTACTCCCCCCATCATCCCTGCTCCCCCCATCATCCCTGCTCCCCCATCATCCCTGCTCTCCACACCGCAGCTGGCTGTGCCCAGGCATCTCTGTTCCACCAAAGGGAATATTTGATTACTGCCACTTGAATTCCCATCACTTCTTCCCTTCTGATCATTTTCCTTTCATCCCCCTGGAGCGCTGCGGGTGGGAGCAGGACCCAGGGTTTGTTTGGAGATGATGAGCTGCCTCTGCCTCGCCAAGCAGAGCTGACACCAGCGTGGGGACGTTCTCTTATACTGTCAGAAATACTCCTTAGATAAGCAGCAGGATGGGGTGCTGGCACCAGCTCTTCTGTGTGGGTCCAGCATGGGGCAGGCTGTGCCTTCCTGGGTGTCTCACAAAGCTCCCTGGGTTTTCCACCCTGTGTCACTGCACAGATGCTGGTCAGCAGAAGACCCCTCTGGTTTCTCATTGCACTCGTGTGTTTAGCAAAGCTGTGCGGTTGGAGACTTTATATTGTGATAAGAGATCACAAAAAAACCCCAGCCTTTGAGCCTGCTACCTGCCAAGTTTATAAAACCATGCGTTGTAACTTGAAAACAAGCTGTTGGATTTTATCCTGCAGTGGGTTTGTGTGCACATTTTGAGAGGGGTTTTGCAAGAGATGCCTTGGCCACCAAGGTGAAGTCAAGCTGGTGTTCAGATTTGGACAACTTTTCATGAGAAATAAGGAATAATTGTTCCCTCTCTGTCTCTCTGCACCACTTCTGCTTCCTGTGACCTGTGTTGCAATGGGATGGGACACCTCTGTCAGGAGATGGGCACTGTCCTCTCCCCTGTGCACCTGGAGCTCCACACCCTGTCCCAGGGCTTGCAGGTTTAACCACTAACACTCGGGCGAGATAATTTCCAGTTTTCTTCATTATTATCCTATATATTAATATGTGTATTAATAACTAGTACATGTATCATAGATAAGAAAATATAGTTACGTGGGTCAAGGAGGTGTGGGGCTTGAGCTGGTGGTGGGTGCCAGGGCAGTGTCTGGGCTGCTCTCACAGCACCATGATAACACCGCGATGTGGCTCCAGTGGGGCTGTGTCCAGCCAGCCGGGCGTGTGGCCAGGGTAAATATCAGCCTGGTGCTCTGCCAGCAGGAAAAGCAGCTGAACAGAGGGGGGATTTGTGTTATGTAGGTGCTTCTGGGGGAAAGGAAAAAAAATAAAATAAAAAGGGAAAATATATTTTCTAGATGATTTCCAGCCCTGTGGCGAAACCTGGAGTTGGTCCCGAGGTGTCGCTGACTCTGATCCCTGAGTGTCCCCATGCAGAGCCATGGGATCCTCAGTGCAGCAGGGCACCCTCTGTGTCCCAGCAGGGCACCCTCCGTGTCCCAGCAGGGCACTGCCAGCTCGGTGCTTAGTGCTGGTGCCAGCTAAAGACCCAGTGACCTTGGGGAAAGTTCCCAGTCTCAGGCGTTGGAGCCCTTGCCCCTTGTCTTAACCTTAATGCTTCCTGGCTGGTTTTGCAGCTCTCTGGTGGCAGCAGCAAGGTGGCCAGGAACCTGACACCACCACGGACATCCTGTGACAGCACCAAACTGCAGATAAAGCCACCACCTCTCCAGGTGGGTGTGCAAGCAGCTTGGAAAAGGTGGCAAAGCCAGCACCTTTTCCCGTGTCTGAGGGTGGTGATGAGATGCAAACATGTGCTTAGCATGTGTAATGTGTTTCTGTACTAACCATGCATCAAATTATAATTTCAAACAAAAATATTTTTGTTGGATGGGAAGTCCCAGTTCATTAATCAATTGACTAATAGTTTAGTGCTGGAATCGTCCAATCTAACACACTTCACAGCTGCTCAAAACAGCTGGTGCTGTGACTCGTGCTCTTTTGGGAAGTGAAATCTAGAGTGTCTCAGTTTTGGTTTTCAGGGAGTTTTTCAGAATTGCTCCCTGATTCCCATGAGCAAAGACCTCGAGTGCTCTGGAGCAGGGGCCCTGCAGGGAGGTGGGACTGGATTCACTGGGGCTCCCAACCCAAACCACCCCCCTTTTGCATGGAGGAGCAGGGAGCACCAGCCCTGTCAGCAGAGGTGGCAGCTGGACACCAGGGTAACCCTGCAGGTTTGCAGGGGGGAGAGGTGTGTGACCCCCTCCTGCCAGGTGCTTTGATTTGGTTTTGAGCCACAACCAGCACCTGCTGAGCTACGTGTGTGCCAAGGGAGATGCCACCAGCCAAGAGGGCAGGTCCCAGCTGCTCCCCAGCCTCAGAAGGTGCTTGGCTGGGACCAGGGTCCTGGTGAGATGGCAAGCTGGGGACTGCTGTGTCAGGAGGGGAAGGGGCAACTGCCACATGCTGCCTCCTGCCCTGTTTTCTCAGCAGCTGCTGGGCCGTGGTGAGACCTTCACAGCCAGGAGGAGGCAGCAGGGGCAGGGGGAGCAGTGCTGGGGCAGCAATGGCATGGGACCAGGTGTGGGATGTTGCATGAGTCTCCAAAGTGAAATATAGAAAACCACACAAAGACCTCAACAGGCTTGAAATGGAGCCACGTGTGCTGCTGAGATGCCTTCTTGGAAGCATGTAGCTCAGTGGTAGGGCCAGCCATGGCCCATCCTGCCCTGCAGGCTGCCCAGCTCACCTAAGCTAAAGCATCTCAGAAGTATCATTTGTTCCCAAACACTTGGGTGTCTTGGTGGGAATGTCCCTGAGCTTTCCAGCAGCACCTCAGCTTAATGATTGACAAAGGCTGCTAAAGCTTTACCAGATCATGTGCCACACACCCCAGAGGCAGGTGTCCATTCCCAGTATATCTGGGGATTTTCCAGTGTGAGCTCCACAGCTGGGGGTGGCTCAGCTGGACGTCAGCAGATTCCCAGATCCTTCTTGTATGGTTTTCTTGCTTTAGCAAGGGGCCAGGTATGGAGGTGTCAGGGGCATTAAATCCACAGCTGCAGGGGAATGAGGTGAAGCCATCCCACTGGAGGATGCTCACTGGTCCTCAGTGTGGGGATTTGGGTTTCCTGCTAGGGACGTGGTGAAACTCTCTGTGTGAAAACAAGTGGTGAGTTTTGTCCAGCCCCAGCCAGTGCCTTGCTCATGGGAGACCTCACTGAGAAGTTGAGTTGGGAGGGTTGGAACCCAAACCCACAAACAACCCCCTAAATAAGCTTGTCAAAATGTTGCTGAAGGACATTCCCTGAAGATGAGGTAACTGGAATTTTGATATAGGCAGATGAAACAGCCCTGGCATGTTTATACAGTCAGCAAATTTACTGCCTTCAAAAAAACCCCAAGAAAAGCAGTCAGTATTAATCAAATATAGTTTATTTTGTCAAACATTGTATCCTTTTGAAAATAAACATCTTGGTGTTGTTTTCCTGAGAACATGCTAGGAGCTGAAGTACATGTCCCTGCCTCTGGGCTGCAAAGCACCATGTCCCTCAGCCCTTCCTGAGGGCTGATGCCATTCCCACAAAAGCCATCATGCCCAGCTCCTGGTGAGGATCCCCGTGCATGTGCCAGCCCTGCAGCCCAAAAAGATTGGAGAGGTGAAAAAGAACAACTTGCTACTGTGGAGTTTTTCCTCCTGGGCACCAGGTGGTGGGGTGGGAGCTGGTGCTGGTACCTGAGAGCACCCTCTGGGGAAGAAGGGCCTGTTAGGGACTACTCAGGGTTATTTTGGAAGCTCCTTGGAGGCCACAGAGACATAGATGACTTCTGGTTGCTCCAGCACATTCCCAACACTGAAGGCCAGCCTTTTCTAGATTGGAAGTACAGACCTAACCTCCAGCCCCTGGTTTAGTGGCTGTCTCCTCCTTCCCAGGTGCCCAGCAGAGACCTCAACAACTGCTTGCAATGAGCCAGCATGTTTGGGGATCTCTGCCAGCAGTTTCTCTTTGCTCTCACTGTCCTCTTTGCTGTTATTCTTTCAGCTCACAGAGATGCTGCCCATCCAGAAAGAAAATCACTGCTAGATCCAAGCAGCACAACCACCCTTCCCACCCAACTCTGTGCAGGCAGCTCACTCCCCAAGAAGCAGAAAAGCTGCCTGGGTCCCTTCAGTGTCATCTTATATTGCCATCCACCGTGTTAGCAAATGGGAAAATAAACACGAGGTGGATAGCAAAGCAAGAGGCAGTTTCATTACAGATGTTAAGAAGAATGATGTTTGTGTACATTCCACCCAGAAGTGGATTAAAGGGGTGACCTTTCCCGTGGTGTGAAATGGGTTTGCAGTGGAGTGCAGGCGTCCTGTGGCACTGCAGGACCTGCCAGACGTTTGGTTGCCCCTGTTGTTTGTGGTTAATGTTGGAATCTCAGTTAAAGCTGAATCTCAGCAGCTGAGAGTGTTTTCTGGGAACTTGTCATCTGGACTCTGTCTAGTAAAATTCCTGGTGTTTGGTGTATTTGATCATATTTGAAGGAAAATCAATGTTTTCTGGGGAAAAAAACAAAACCAAAGGAAAGGAGGAAGGAGGGTGGTGGCATCAGTGACTCCTAACGTTGAGCTGAATCCTGCAGAAGAACCCAGGATTTGGCCCAGGTTGAGAGCCCTGTGGTGCAAATCACCTCCACTGCCTGTCAACGTGTGTGATCAACACCTCCTGAGCACGACGGGCAGCGTGGACACTTCAGCATGGCAGTGTCACAGCTGTGTCCCAGCCTGGCTGTGCCCAGCCTCCCACACCACGCCAGAGGAGAGGGATGCTACTTCCAGCCCACCAAGGTGCAGTGCTTCTTGCTTCCTTGCAGTCTTGCCTTGCTGCAGGTTGGTATTTGCTGTGCCAAACGTGCAACCAGCAAGTTCTTTGCTGTTCTGCTCCTGGTGAGGAGGGTCAAGCAGGAGAGCAAGGGAGGAAGAGCTTGCACACCAGCCACCCCAGCCTCAGTGGCATGAAATCCCCAGCAAAGGGCTTGGGCATCACCTCACTGCACACCTGAGCAAGCCCAGGCTCAGCACTGCAACCCAAGTGCTCCATGGAAGCCCTTGTCAAAGGCACTTCCAGTAGACTCTGATGGCTTGGGAGGCCAAGCAGTGAGGAGCAGGGAGATGCCCTCTGGCTGGGGAGCCAGGGTGCTAATTGGCCTGGGTAATTGCAGGCAGGGTCAGACTGAGTCTGTGGGTGGATGCTGATCTGGCAGTGAGTGAGGGGGCTGCTCTGTGCCTGTGGCCAGGAGCTCTGGCCTTAACTGCTGCCTCTCACTAGCCCACAGCAAGGGCAGGGCCAGGGGCTGGTGCTGCCCAGCAGTGTGGGTGCTTCACCCCAAGCCTGGTGCAGCTGGGGGCTGAGGGCTGGGCTATGTGGTGAGCCCTGGCTTAATTCCTCATGGCACTGAGGTGAGGGGCAGTGTCTGCCCTGTGGGCACAGGGTGCAAAGTCCTGGTCCCTGAGGTTACTGCTGGGAACACGATTTGAGTGCAGGGAGCTGTGGGGCAGGGTGCCATGGTTGCCTGCCCTCAGCACCCACCCAGGCACAGGGAGCCTGGCAGCCAGGGCAGCTGTGGGGGTGTGGGGGCTGCCAGGCAGTTGTGCAGGCTGGAGCTTGGAGAAATAGAAATCTCTCATAGATCTAGAAATACAGACATTTTCCTTTTTCAATCCTCATATATTTTCCTGTCAAAAAACCACAGAGCCACATGCCTTCTGGATGGGTGACAAGTGCCTTTGGTGATATCACCAGAGCAGCAGTGGGAGGATTTTGGTGCCATCCTGGAGGTTCTGCTTCCCTGCCTGCCTGCCCACCTCCCTGGGGCTCGGGTAACAGTGCTGCTCCAGCCCTGTGCAATGGAAACCCTCTGCCAGGAGGCTGGGTCACACCTTGCAGCTGGAGGTAAGAACCACACTGGAACCTTTTTGGTTAGAGATGTAGGAAAAACCCTTGGAGGGAGGAGTGAGGGTCCTCACCATGGTGCTGCTGTCCTGCCTGCAGCACCAGCTGGCTCCCAGTTAACCAAATGCTGTTGCTTTTTGGTAGCTGGCAGCTCTGTAAGTGGTAGGTGCTGCTGCCTGGCCCAGGTGGGGTCGGTGTGGGAATGTGTGGAGGGTCATTCACATGAGGAAGAACCACCAGCTCCCATACACACTGGGAGTACTGGGGAGGGCTATAGGACTGTCCTTGCCCTCTCACCACCTCGAGATGCTCTTGCAGAGAGCAAGGTAGACCAAGGCCTGGGCTAGGAAATTATGACCCCCTGCTTTTTAAGCCATGGCAGAGGTAACACCTCTTTGAAAGGCACAGGGAGAAGAAAGCCATGGCTCCAGCCCACAGCAGTGCTGCTAGGGGGCTGGACCAGACCAGGGGTCCATGATGCAGGGCTCCTTCAGGAGGGAAATACTTCAGCAGCATAACAGGGATTGCCTTCAGATCCGTGATGCTCAGGCAGAAAGAGCAGGCAGGGAAATGAGCTGAGCTGTGTGGAGTAGCTGCATCCCACAGCTTGGAGACAAATGTTGAGCAGCCATCTATCTGCTGGTGAAAGAACAAATAGAGATGTGGGTCTTGCACCTTTTAAACACTACATGTCTGCGGGCTGCGAATGTGGGGATGGGATTTGCAGGCTGCTTTATTTAGTATGATGTGTGCTGTGCTGGGCTTGCAGAAACCACCCTGCAGACACCCAGTGTGTGACCACAAAAAGATGTTTAAAAAAAGCTGGGGGAAAGAAAGGAAAAAAAAAAAAAAAAAGGCAAAAAGAAAAGCAGAAAAGTGGAGTCAGCTGCCACAGGTGGTGTGAGCTCATGTCCCCAGTTTTGGGGGGCAGAGGAGGGGCTGAGGGAGAAGCAGGAGCCCCTTGGGAGGTCTGAGCATAGGGTGTAGGTAGGGTGCAAGTGCAGGGGAAGGAGGGGACCCTGAGCTGCCCTGTGTGTGACATGAACATGACCATGATGGCACGATAATAACATACAGCATAATCATAACAGCAGCAACAACAATAAGTACTGCTCTGTAGCTCACCCTGCCCACCTCCAAACCTCTGTGCAGCTCCTTTTATATGTATTTTTTATATATATATATATTTTTATATATATTTTTCTTAAACAGTGTTTAAAGAATGATGGTTTTAGGCAAGGTAGACATTATTTAATTATTTTTAAGGAGGCTGATTATCTAACTGCCTGATGGGCTGCCAGACTCCACCTCTGGCAAGTGTCTGGCAGGAGCCACTAGTCATTGTGACCTTGTCCTGCTAATGCAATCTCTAAAGGAATAATTCAAGGTCCTCAGGATCCTGGATAAGTGGATTCTGGACTGGCTGCTAAGATGGCTTTTACCACCTCTTTTACACAGCCTCACATGGCAGTTTGGTTAACCCTGCAGAGTTTGCTCTTGATCTTCCTTCTGATAGCATGGGACGGGTGTGTGGATGGTTTTCAGGAGCTCCTGACCAACAACCCCAGCTCTGGCTTTGGCCCTCCTTGTTCCCATTATTGCTGGGAGCTCCCAGGGGGAGCAGCTGGGTAAGCAGGGGCAGCTGTGGCTCAGGCAATGAAATCAGTGCAACCTGGGGTGCAGGGAAAGGTCAGAGCCAACCGTTGCCAGCCTGTGTTTTAGAAGGTGCTGGTGCACACAGGAGGGATGAGGGGATGCTTCCTCCACACCTCAGTCTGGCCAAACCTGCTCTGCCCCTTTCAGGAGGTCAGGGGGCCTCTGCCACCTCCCTGGGGAGCATTTGGCCAAGGGATCTGTGCAGTTCATCGTGCTACATCCCCAAGTAGTCACAGTGAGCCAAAATGTTCAATTAAAATTAATTTGCTCAGTTTCCCCAGCCAGGAAGGTAATTTTTCAGTCCTTGCTTTCCCCTCAGCCTCATGCCTTCCACAGAGCCCTGGGCAGGTACACACCAGCCTTCACTTCCAGGCTAATTCCAAATGTCATCTTCATGACAGGGAGTGAGGATGGTGCTGGCTGTAGCTGAGGGCAGCAACCTCGGAGCTGGAGTCTGTCTCAGGGGGAGCAGCAGCCCCACTTGTGGCCTTGGAGCAACGGGGCTGCTAAAACTGTGCTGAGACACTGGAGAGGATGCTGGAGTGCCAAGCCAGCCACTTGGGAAAGGGTTGGCAGGGCTGGGGGTGTGGCCCGGGGGGGGCTG